ACCCAGCTCACACAGGTGGCTGCGAGCACAGCATTCGCAAGGAAACTCAGTCGGCTTTTGGAAGCATTGGCATGAAACCCCAAAATCTTAGTCAAAACCAGGGAGGAATTGATGACGTACTGATATTGAACTCTGAAACTCACCAGTTAAGCAATTGCTTTAGGTAGCCCGATGTAGAAGCCCATCACTAGTGCAAACGAGAGACATCTGAAAGGCTGGTTGCCCACACGGAGCTACCAAACAGCTGCTGCTGGCAGTGACAGCCACTTGCTAACAGAAGATGCCTCCTTGAATCTGCCTTGCAGGTGTTCAAGTACATCTACTTACTGTCACTGTCCTGCTCACGGCTTTCGTCATCATTGTTGATGGAGCAGCAGCATGTGGCTGCAGCACGCCACATGCCAGGCGCTCTTTGGGCTTGAACTTGCTGTCAGGAATGCAGCCATGTAGACAAAACCCCAAGAGGAACGATGGGACGCAATTCTGATTCAGGTGGGCAAGAGCCTGAGCAACACACACACACACACACACACATCCCGCTAACTGAGATCTTTGCCATTCCCAGTGCATTTCCACTGCAGATTGATCTCTGAAAACTGGAGGGCTCATGCAAAGCCGGAGATGCTTAGGGACAAACCTCATCGACGACGACTCCTGCAGCAACTGGCTTCAGAATGTTAGCGATCCCTTAGAGCTGTCGAACGATGTCGAATGACTACGCTGCTGCCACAGCCCGTGAGCAGTATTTTCTGACCAAGAGAGTTCGTACACAACTTTGCACGTTGCCACACCTGCATTTTCACAATACGCATGCGACACAATGAAAATCTTTGGCAGCGCGGCCAGCACATGTGCTGACCGATTTGCCACCCCAGTCCATTTGTTCGTGTGGAATTTGCCTAAGTAACATTTTCCCTCCGCTCAATGCACCTTTGTCTCGCCAGAATGCATGCTACCGGCCAGAAATCATTGTATGGTGATGATAGCAAACATGGACCCAGCGAATGCCGACCAAGACGCATCCAGGTTTGAACGTACGAGTTTGCATTCATTCCATTTGGCCTGCTGCGGCTGTCTCTTCGCCGAGATGGCGACCTGCAAAAGGCAACATCCGGGCGAAAACTGAATACTTAGCACGGGTCTTCGGGCTGCAACCCTAGGGGATGGTCTCGAGCGACTTTTCGGCTGCTGTACCCCGTATTGACAACACGGGAAGCTACCCAGCAGGGTGCCGATGATGCTTGGTACATAACATAGCGCACCCCTTTGATCTGCTTGGAAGTGAATCCAACAACTTTGGAAACGTCCCCAGGCGGCACACAGTTGCCACTGAGCCGGGATGGGTACAGTACTTCACCTGAAAGATATCATATTCGAACCTTGCCGTGTTGCAACAACCACAAGCCCCCACCCTGCATGCAGGTTGCATGACTTTTCTAACGTTGCATCAAACGCTCTCTGCGTAGAGGCCCATTTTCGGGCCCAGCAAACGTCTTGTGAGCCACAGAGCTTTGGTAGCTGTAGCGGCCGTGTGACTCAGCTGCTGTCTGTTGAGTCGCCAATCAACGCCACACACAATCCATGTATACAGGCGCTGCTTGGATTAGATGTGAAAGCTCACCGAACTACGAAATATGAAGAACAACTCAGGCTCTGTAAAGCTGGGATCCCAGCAGACTTGCGCTAAGGTGCCATTATGATTCCAGAACTCCCTGGTGCCATTGCAGCATTGCGGTTTTTTTCTGCTGTCGTCAAACATCTGGCATTCTATGTGTATAGGTTCATCTGACTTGTTAGTCACCTCACCCAAAAGGACGCGAGTTTGTACTCTGGCTAGTCTTCCTCAGCATTCGCCTGGTTCTGCTGAACCCTACTGCAATCCCCTTAAACCCTTCAGTCTTCAGCCACCACAAGAAGTCCTACCTCACATCTGGCATCATCTGGAACGCTTCCCGTTCCCCTCTACAAGGAAGTTCGTCGACCTTTCCGGCGGTCTCCGCGGTCCACGGCGTCCTGCACCAAATCCTGCACTCCCTGAGGTTGGCCCGCGAGATAGGCGTTCCAGCTGGACCACTCCTCGACTTTCTGGGCTTCATGGGCTGCTTGCAGTGTGCTCCCCGCAACAAGTACCTGCATGTACTCCCCCACTCCCAAAAGCGCCAGTAAGTTGGAATGAGAATGAATGAGACTTGTGCTAGCACCATTAAGAATGGCAGTGATGAGAGCAGAAAACCATATTGAGGAGAGTAAGAAGGGCAAGAGTCATGATAGCGAAGGTACTGGTAGCAATGCTATTCTGCTTGACTGTGAGTCCTCGCATCAGGATTTGGTGTGCTAAGGCAGACCCTTAGCCGGTTATCCACAGAATTGACCCTCCAAAAAGACAAGCTTTTAAGAACAGCCCAAATTCCAGCACAAGTGTTACCATCCCGCTTCAATCATACCCATTCACGTCCTAGTTGCAAGTCTCACTTCTCTTGCGGCCCAGACTCGTCTTCTGCCAGCATATGTTTGCACTCCCGCGCGAAGCGCTCGCAATCCCCCCTGAGGGCATCCTGCCGGAAATCCAGAGCGAACTGGCCTCAGAACATCATTCTTGGTGGTAGAAACGAAAGTCGAAATTCCTTGAATCGGCCAAACTTCCAAGGACGCTAGGACGTTGCTTGCTGTTGGGAATCCTCATTGGAGTGGACCCCGGACCGAAGCCCAAGGGTTGTCTAGCCCATTAGCAAAGCGTCTCACCGAACTTTGTTTCACCAACTGTCTGCTCACCCTCGGAGGCCTTTAATAGTCTAAGCAAGCATTTGTTGGGCGTTATGCAACCATCCGCACAATCCAATTCACTAATCCTGGCAAAGCGCAGATGGCTCCGAACGACCACAGCTCCCCGAGTGAGCTGCGCATGTGTTGAACCAAAGGCGGGAGAACGAACCAAATCTGCGCAGCGGCGGCCAGCCGGGCAACAGCCACCACCTAGCTATGCCCACACGAACACCGTGACAACATTGAACAAATCTGCAGAGGAGCAGCAACGAATTCATGGCAGCAACCCTAGTATTGTGGTAACAATGAAAAACGGGCTAATGGATAGCCAAGGTTTGACAGTGGCACCAAACGCTTTGTAATACTCAACAGTCATATTGAACTATGGTTGAACACAGTCAGCCTACAGCAACAGGGCCATGGCCTGACAGTGCCAACAATAGCCACACAAGCTGCACCCTTGTGGCACGAGAGTGAATTGAATGCTCCTAGTCCACCACCGTGTGCCAGGTAAACGGAGATAAAACATCCACAAAAATGCAATACGTTGCAGACTTACGACGACGGCAAACAGCCAATTGGTGACTGCGGGGGCGAGGGCCACGAGCCCTCTACCCCCAATGCGATAAATCGTGGTGTCAGCTGAATGCACGCCTTTGGTGTTGCTGGTGATATGCTAGAAACCGAGAGCTTTCGGAAAATCCCAAGGAATGTCGCGTCCGTCCATTCCCTTCTCCTCTGCAGGAAAACGGAAACACATCCCTGCGCTGCATGCAGGGGGTGCAGTCTGGCGTGCCTCTGGTCCCCAGTTTTTCTTCAAAGCTATGTGGGTGGACCGGTGCTATTGAAAACCGTAGTTGGGCGCTCAGGGTGCTGCGTAAAAATCGCCTGGAGGTGGCATGGGCGCTTGTGGTGACGGTTCGCGAACACACATCGCTGACCTCGAAAAGCTACTGGAGAATGCAGAATGATTCAAGCTTGCAACAGAAGCACAGCATGAAAGCTAGGCGAGGCCAGCATCCTTCTAGAGGGCTACCCTCTACACACACCCATAACTTCACACGTCCTTAGTTTGAGGTGCCCCACGTCTGTAATATCCGGCCAAACAGGATCCTCGAAAGCACCTTCAGGGAATTTCATGGCGCATAGACTTCGCTCGTGCTTGACGGAGAGTGGGAAATGGATCCGTACCATAATGTCTATAAGAAAAGGCCTACCCACATAACGCGCTAATGCAAAGCTTGTGAAGTGACGAAAACTTTTAAATTTGGTCAATGCTTCGGGATAGTTTAGGCAACAACTACATGAGGGGATAGTGCTGCCAGCTAATCTCCGGTCCCTGCCAGTACAAACCTCCACAATTGATAGCCAAGCCATATGTAACACCAAATAGGCAACACACTTTATCCGCTTTTCGTATCCTGAGGGGCAGGGAGTCTACGATTTTGCGGGGGGGATTCTCGGAATGTAGGGGCGTACATACTCGGGGCTGGGGATCTGCTGTGTTGCAAGCTAGCAATCTATGAGGAGTGCATACGAAAACCCTCCTTCTCATTCAGCTTTATAGACCCAGCCTGTGTAGATCAAGTGCAGGAAGGAGTTAACAGCAAAGGCAGAGCCATGTACTTCAAGGCGCTTTGGATGCCTGGGTCACAAGCAGGCGGCTTTTGGTGCTTAGGCTGAAACTTACCAAGCACGGCCAGAAGAAGCCTAGATCTGCAGCTCTTGAGCCAGATCTTGGGCCAAGTCAGCGCTTCTGGCTGCAGGAGCAGAACCATGACGGAGAAAAGTGAGCGGACAGCAGAGGGACAAAGAGAGGGCCTGCATCAGGCAAAGCACTGATTCAGGGCTCACTGGTCATCGGTGGAAGGCTGGGCGAGGACATCCACGGCAACGGCCACGTCTGGAGCGAATTGGAGTCTATGGCAACACACAGTTCCCACAGCCCAGCGAAAGAGCAGCGACACCTCCCTCTCCCCTGGCTGTTACATGGAGAACATGAGCAAGGAGCTTGGCGGAGGTAATCTCCCAGGGCTCTGTGCCCTGACTGGCACACGCCCGGGCGGTGTTGAGGAGCAAGGGAAGATCCAGAGAGAGGAGAGAGACAGAGAGGTGTGTGTGTGTGTGTATAAATAGTCGAAGGAAGTCACCCCTCCACCAAGCCCTGCGTTGAAATTTCATCTAGAAGTCTAGGCTGATTGGACCCCACACGCACACATCATACACCACATAGTGACTCAACTACAGTCCAAGTGCATCTGCTGCTCCTGAAGTTGCCGGGCGAACAGTGGCGAGGCCTTGCTGAGCACAAACGCGTGAGCACGCGCAAGCAGCTGTCCGGCTCTTGGCGAGAGATCATCCATTGCGTCTTCCGCGGCAACGATTTCAACATCAGCTGAGAGGTCATCATGTAGGATCTCGCCCCACATTTGCATAAATGTGGCCATTTGCCCTTGCGTAGTGAAGGGTAGCCGTGGCTTCGCGGCCGGGGAAGGAATGGTAAAGAGCTGATCGAAGGCTCTTAGCCGGTCACCTAGCAGCTTCCAAAACTCAAGGCTAACGAATCCATACGCAATGAATCAATCACATCCTGTATACCCTTCGAAGTTTCAATGTTTTGAAAACCACTACCTGTGGTTGTCATTTCCTGGATGAGGAGCTGCGCATCCTCCTCAGACTCTGCCCCGTAGAGGATGTGAGGAACCATGCTCCTAGGCTCGCTCTGGACTACAGGTCCCATGGCAGAATATCAGCTGGCAACAAATGACCATGACAGAAGTGAGAATTAGAACTGCTAGGCTCCATGCTTCACAATGACAACGACGACGACCACGACGACCCATCACCGCAACAACAGCAAGAACAACCACGACGACGACTACTACCACCACCACTACGACTACTGATCTGCTACTGCTTCTGCTGCTAGTGCTACTGCTGCTGCTGTGCTACTACTACTACTACTACTACTACTTCTACTACCAGCACCACCACATCTGCATCACCATCATAATTAATCATCATCACTACTGCTACTGCCACTCCTCCTCCCCGTCCCCTTCCTGAAGCGCCTGCAGCCTAGGCTCTGCCAAAGGGACTGGAAGTTGCTCACCAAGGAGCGAGCGGAGTTACAGGCAAAAGGCAGCTGCCGCTCACCAAAAGTGACCATGTAGGGGCAGTTAGCGGGCACGTGCTGCAGGGGGTCCTTGCAAAGGTGCGGGAGCTTCGGTTCGGAGTTGCAACGCTTTCGGCCAAACGGAACTATGTATATATATGATAAAAAGGATACGGGCTAGAGCGAATTTGGTCCCGTACGGAATAGTAGCAAGGCAGAAACAAAACAATTGCATGCCGTGGACTGGAAGTGCAAGAGTCCTGCCTTTGTAATTCCTGCACAACCACTGCCCAAACAATTCTTCCCAAACTTAATTTGGGGAGCTCATTCAGAGTCAAACCAAATAAGAAGAGCCGCAAACAAGTTGATGCACAAAAGCTGCAGACCCTCCGTTTTCTAAGACAAACCACCCGCGAGGTAGGACCCATCATCTTGAGGGAGCCCGACCTCTCGTGACCAGTACCACTGCGATGACCGCTGCGACAACCAGCATTAGTACCATGGCAAGCTACATAGGAGTTTGCGTCAGAAATCTGGAGCATCTTCACAGACACACAAAATCATACAGCCTTTCGGAATCCTTCGGACCAAAATGGAGAGGCCTGCCAACCCTGATCTTCACCTTACATCCTTTCATCAGTCCCTACGGTAGGATGCCAAACTCATCTGCACTGAAAAACCCACCCTCATCCACTGCTGCCCAGGCACAGCACCTCTTGCCAGGCAAAACTCCGCAGCCTGGACCCGCAACTGGAAGCCCACCTGAAAAGCTGATCAGGTGCTGAGGTGGTGTGGTACTTTTAGTGTTGCAGCGTGCGTAAAAAGGGATGAGTGCAGCGCATTTATTCTGATGGGGCAAATCTCAAAAAAACAACAACACATTTTTGGATGTATCCTGAGCGGTGCTAGAATTCCTTTCAAGAGAGACATCTATATCTATTGCGGGCGCATCAAGTTTGAAGCAAGGATGTTACATTGCCAGGAAAATGGGCGGTCCAAGGCCTTGCCAAATCCAGACCACAACGATTGGCTATACTGCTACCGGAATGGTGCTCTGAACCTAGCCTGCGCTCTCAGATCTATGCATGAAGTCCTAAAATGAATGATTGTCTCGCCAGCACGAAACCCACCCTGCGTCCAACCTGAGGTAACCTCACTGCAAATGCAATCCTGCCCTGAAACACCCCGTGCATGCTGAATTCAATCTGACGCGCCTCGTCCATCTCATCGGGTATCCAGATATCAACTGCGAGGATGGCCATGAGTGGAGTGCCAAATTCTCCGACCTTCAAGCTGCACACGTCAAAGTAGCGAGCATGTCTCAAAATCACAGACGTCAACAGGGATATGGGCACTCGAGGAAGAGTTTGGGCCTTGGACAAGCTGGATTTGTCCTTCCCGCCTCGCTGTATCGCATGCAGGTGGAAGCCAGATTGAGGTATGGGATTGAGCATCAGGCTTGCGTCTTTATAGGTTCTGCTCACACACGCAACAGCATCAATCCTAAACAGGATCGGTATCAAGAAACGTGCACACGCAAGGCACAAGGAAGGACGGCACATCAGTTTTCTGCTTTCATCATGTCGGTGCCCGTAATTAGCCGGACCTTCCGAAAGTCGAATCCATTGGCAGCTCGGCGCACAGCTTCCAGGTCCCCATTCTTCCTTGGCTCAGGACAGCTGCCAACCAGCACAAGGCAGGCAATTCAAACAGCCTGAGTGGTCGCATAGGAGTTGCGTAACATACCGCTCCCAAAATCGGAGAGACTCACCACGATCCGTATTACGGGAACCCAAGATGTTGTCCATCGCCGAGGCTCAAGTGCTCGAACATCCGCTGCGAGGGGTCCAAAGCCATGGGCGGCGATTCAAACCACATTGGCATTGCTCTTATTAACCATCTTGAAATGGCGCCTTCAAGACGCACCGTAGCAGTGGAACTGATATGAACTGATGCCTCTGCCCAGAATGAACCCAAAAACAAAACATAGGCAACAGGGGGTCTTTTTTTTGGATACATGGTGGGTTCACCGTTCTTCCATCAGACTTGCATCTCTCAGAGTTTGGGTGCAAGAGCCGGCGTTGCAGAAGCAAGTACCTCCACATGGCTGGGGCCTAGAACATGCATAGTGGGGAAAGGGAAAACTTCGGTGACCCAAACTGCTGAAAAGCATGTCTCCAAGACACCTGCACACCAAGGTTACCCTGTGTTTACAGCAAACAAAACAGTCAATATGACGGCTCCTTTTCGAGAAATTTTGGGCCCTTGCAAAATTCGGACGAGTACTGCGAATTAGGGTGCCCACATAGGACCACAATTTTGACAACCCACCTACCCAAACACTGTTGCATCCAGCTCGTGACCCTGAATACCAAGTGCCCGCCAAAACCTGGCCCTAGATACGCGAAAACCAAAGCCTCGTAACAGCATCCCTAACCACACATAGAATCATAGAATCCCTGGAACAAACGACAACCCCGCACTTGACGGCCTGCGGCGGGAGGACCTGCTTATGTTGATGCTGGGCTGAGCATGCATATTTTTCACGGATACATGCTTGGGTGTGAAAGTCCATGCGTAGACACGTCTATGCATACGTATCAACGTCGCTTGTGAAATATAGATTCATGTAGATAGATACACGGAACCATACACGTGACACCACATGTATGTGTATGTGTAGTATTTCGTCTGGTCAGTTCGCTTCAACATTCATGTCTACCAAACCTCCTCTCACTCTGCACACCTTCATGTTAGAAGCTCCAGGCAGCAAGCTAAGAAGTATCTTCAAGCCACTGTATGAATCCAAATGTGGAGGTGTCTGTTGATCCGATGCTGATGCCTGCGACTGCGGCTGCGGCTATCTCGCCCACCGCGACCTGCTCCCACAGGCTACTCGCTGGGGTAAATTAATTAGGGCTACCTTCCACGCTGTCCGCTTGGGAGCGCTTGGACGATCCATCTTAGCTGCTTCCTATTTCACACAACGCTATCCGGACAACTCTTTATGGTCCCTGCTGTTGCCATGATGACTACTCGCTTGCTCCTGAAGACCCCCCCGTCCCCACTAAACACAAGACTCCATATTCCATGCGCGTAGCGGAGGAACAGGTCATTGATTCATACAACAGCCCTCAAACACGAGACCCTTACCCAAAACACGCTCACCCTACATATCTCACATATTATGATAGCCCAATGCGAGCGAGGCAACTGCGTGCTGCCCAGGCACGCTCATCGTTTCGAAGCTTCTCCTGGCACAAGCGCTTCAACTACCTAAATCGCTATGAAGCACGGCAGCTATGCGCCCCATAGCGATTCAATAAGGAGATATTAGGGGACAGCACCAGGCCTGGACCAGGTCATTGACCAAACGTTCGGCATGCATCCGGCCGCCGTTCTCCACTTTGCTCCCTTTCGGGCACAGCGTGTTCTCCAAAGGTGTCTGCGTGCTAGCGAAGGGATGAAGGGCTCCGGAACTCGGTGCACACTGCTGTTCTGGGAGTTGCTGCGTGCACGACGCCTGTTTACCTGTTGCAATCTTGTCGTCAAATCGTCCTGCTCCCTACAATTCACGTGTCAACAATCCACACAATCCTACACCACAACGCAGCTCCCAGTAAAACCTGAAGACTTCAAAGACCTCTCACATTCCCTGCGCCTGCGTTGGCGCCAAAAATTAGCAGGCGTTCCTTCCAGGATCGGGTAAGTGCCCAGGCATCTGTGCACTACATGGTCAAGGCCGTACTCTCCATGATTGCCAGAAAACTATCTGTCATCCCCAGCACTGAATTCCAAGAACAAAAATCTGCCAAGCAGGCTATCAGCTAGCCTCCAGCCTCAACCGTGTAAGCTGCACAAAATTCAACCTCCTCTGTGTGAGACTCACTTTCGGGTTCAGGCTTCAGCAGTGAGAGAGCATGCAACATGAACACCCCTCCACCTCGCCCCTGGCATCGAGGGCCATGAACATAAACCTCAGGCCGTGGCGCACTACACGACGAGGTCTTTTGTTTCACGAGACTTCTTGTAGCTGTTCGCAGTGCCGCAACACCCGCTTGCAGTCACGGTGCGTTCCTGTCTCTTGCTCCACACGACGTAGCTCGCTGCCGCGATTCCTCAGCAAGCGAGGGAGGCTCGCACATGCTTGGCGCCCCTGCAGCATGCGCATGGTCTCAAGTTGGCACTGGTGTACAGGCGCCCAGACATGCCGGGCACTTTGGTCTATTTTGCGTCCTTGCCGTCCGCTACGCAGTCCAACGTTCCATGTGAGAATGTCTACAAAGGAAGATGTGCAGCTTCCTAGATCGGCTCACTGGGGCTCTGGGGTGTCTCATGCTATGAATGGCTCGAAGAAGCCCGGGCGCAACAGCGCGTTGCCTGAGCCGTCATCTAGCTTGACTTTCCACTTGCCGTCGCCATACTGCTGGACCAATGTGCCGCAGACTCCATTCTTTGCCCTCAGGCCGGTAAGGCGAACCCTTGTGCCCTTCTGTAGTGGCACGGAGCAGCCGCTCGATGTTTGGGTGGGCTGCACCAGGCTGGGCCATCCTCCCAGCGGAGCATTGGCCAAGGCAAAGTTATCCGGGACGGGGCGACGGTCCACGCTGGGAATATCCTGCAGTGCCTTGCGGTCATCCTCGAGATGCTGTTCCCAGTTTGCCTGGGCAGCCGTTTCTGTTTGAATTTCGAGTTTGAGCTGGCCTGCAGTAGGGCCCAGGTACATCTCGCGACTGAACTGGTCAAAGTGCGACGCAGAGAACCACTCAGGTGGAAAGAGGGTGCAGCACGCTGCATGCAGCACCTTGCAAGAGTCATCGATGGTGAGCAAGAGCTCAGGGGTTGCGTTCAGCATGTCTGCGGAGGCAAACGCCTTGAAGCGCATCCCGATACCACCCACTGCGCCCCACATGAGGCCAACCGCGTCAATCTCAGGCCTCTGGAACCCGGGAACCCTGTCTAGGTAAGCATTGGCAGCAATGTAGTTGGACTGGCCCATGTTTGCTGTCATGGTACTCATAGCGGTGAACTGCACTGTTTTCTGGAGCTTCATGCAAGTGTATGTCGGTCTGGAAGGAAGAGCTTGCACAGGCACCTGTCGAGGACCGGCGGTTGTGGCAAGCGCAAGGGTCGATGCTGCCTCTTCCTGCGCTGCCTTCTTCTGGCTTTCCAATTCTGCTTGCAGCTGCACTTCGCCGTGCATGCTGTCCTGAATCATTCCCAGTTCCGATCGCCTGGATGCATGAGCGAACTGGGCTGCCTGTGGGTCCCTGGTAATGGCTGCCCGCACCACATCTGGATCCGCTCTGAAGGCTGGGATCATGAACTTCAGTGCCTTACCGTTTCGCTTTGCCACAGCCACGGCGAAGTCCTTGTCATTGAGCAGATCTTCAGACGCATGCTTGTAAGCCTCGGCGTCATGCACTGCCATCTCCAAGATCAAGCTACGATCGTCTCGCAAAGCTGTGGTAGCCCCCTGCAATGCAGAGCCTTTGCCAGACTTGGCAGCATTCAGCATGAAGCCCTTGTCGTTTCGGACCGCATCTGGTGCTCCATTCATGGCACCGCCGTGCACGCCCAAAGCCTTCAAAAGGAAATCCTTGTTGTTTCGGAGCTCTGGGGCAGCATCCGCAAAGGCAGTGCCAAAGTACCTGGTAGCCTCCAGCACTAAGCCCTCGTCTGCTCGCAGTTCTGGCGTTGCCATCTTTAGGGCAGCACCTTGGCTGGTTAAGATTGCGCTCTTGACCAGGTCCCGGTCATTCTTGACAGCTTCCGGCGCATTTGCCAAAAGCTTCCAGTCATCTAAGACTGCAGCTCTCCACATAGCATGTCGCCAGCTGGACAAATTGGAGATTGCGTTTGACGGCGGCTGCATGCCATCCTCTAACTGCTTGATGCCGGCCTTGTACTCTGCCGCCTTGACACCACTTCGGATGACAGATGAAGCCGCCAGCTGCGTGAGGTCCACCTCGCCCTCTAGTCGCAAGGATGCCGCATAGTCACGCTTGAGCTCGGCCTCTTCCGCAGCTGGGAAGTCATTTGCCATGCTGAACTCCTTCCGCAGCTTGTCTGCGGTTTTGTTGTTGGTGATGACCGCGGCCTTTGCGCTAAGCAGGAACCAGAGGCCAGGGATATCCAGGTAGCTGGCAGCCACTGTCAGGTCAAAGAGCATCTCCTTGTCCAAGTTGACGAAGCTGGCATCCCACCGTGTCGCACCGCATTCCGCCAGATTGTCGCTGATGAGGGGCGTCCGAATCTCACTGCATGCGTGCTCTCTGTGGTGCTTGAGATACTCAACCAACTTGACCATGACAGACTTCTTGATCCTTAGATTGTGAGGGACATCATCCTAAACACGCTGCAGCGCACTTGGCACATTCGCTGCGGTCAGCCTTGCATCCGAGGCACGGGTACTGAAGTTCTCCCTCGCAACCTTTGTCAAGGAGATCAGTCCTTGCCCTGTAGGATAAAGCAACTGCATCCGCCGGTAGTTCGAAGACATCTCCTTCGGTACATTTGAGCTTTGCTTTCTTGCCCATGAGCTCTACCGGGCACGAAATGCCCGGGCCCATCTTCATCTGCCCAAAGATTTCATATGTTTCCTGAGAATTCAAACGCGTCATGGGCATATCCGAACTGACGAAAGTACACCCTAAGTACACAAAACTGCCAATCATGGACGACGAGCTTCAGCCATGGCCGGCTTCGGAGAATCCTATGTCTGACTTAAGCAATGCACCTGACCCCGGACCATGGGCCACAGCCGAGAAGGCTAAAACGAGCAAATGCCTTCCTCACTGCGCATGGCAAGTGGCAGAACCGGTGAGGGCTTCTCAAGACCTTGACAATGCAAATTCAAACTTGGCACCGCAGGCATGTGCAAGCTCAGTTTTGCAGCTGAACTGGTCAGGTACAGTCCGCAGTGGAAGAAGCTACGTCTGATTGCAGTGAGAACCCTAGCTTTCTGCGGTATGGGCCGCTGAATTGCGCAAGATACAGAAGCAAAGGCCTTTGAAGCCTAAGCCTTCCAGCGCTACATGCGGAGCTCAGATCACATCACGGCCAAGAATCACCCTACGCCGCTTGTGCGACTGAGGAAAGGATCGCCTGTCGCTTTGCTGCGATCTTCTCCTTCAGCTTCGACCGCTTCTCCTCAATCCTGGGCATATCTCACTTTGACACCGACACCCCTTGTTCTGAAGCCGGCGCCCCTTCCTTCCCCGTTTCTAAAGAAAGTTGTGACAAGCGTTAAGACTTGAAACTGACTCGAACAGACCCGGCAAACTGTTCCCAAGGACGATCAAGACTCTTAAACTGTCGTTCAGCTGCTGCCTGCGCGTTGTACGCCTGGATCTCTGGAGTCTGTGGAAAATGCCTCTGTGCTCCCTGCGAGGTCTCTGTCTTCGCAGCTTCAATCACCTCGAAGTTGCTGGGCCTCAGCAGCGCATTGTTCGAGCCATCGTCCAGCTGCACCTTCCAGGCACCGTTGTCGCAGCGCTGGAGCAACGTGCCTGTCATTCCATTCTTGGCACGAAGCCCTGTGAGTCTGATCTTGGCCCCTTCATGAGCCGACACGAGGCTGGGCCAGTTTCCCAGCGGAGCAGAGCCGTTGTTGCCGGGCACGGGCCGCCGGTCCACATCGCTCAAGTCCTGCAGGGCACGCCTGTCGGCCTCCACATCATGCACCTGGGCTGCCATGGAATCTGTCGAGACATCCAGTGGGATGGCCCCGGCGGTCTTCGAGAGGAAGTACTGCCTGCTCTGCGGATCCATGTGAGATGCAGTCCACCACTCAGGCGGGAACATCGAGACAGCTGCAACCCACAACACTTTGCAGGAGTCCTCGATGGTGAGCAAAAGCTCAGGAGTAGCGTTGAGGAAGTCGGCAGATGCAAAGGCCTTGAAGCGCATACCGATGCCACCCACCGCACCCCACATGAGGGCAACGGCATCAATCTCGGGGCGTCGAAACTGTGGAACTCTATCCAGGTAGGAGTTGGCTGCGATGTAGTTTGACTGGCCCATGTTTGCTGTCATTACGCTCATGGCAGTAAACTCAACGGTCTTCTGAAGCTTCATGCAAATGTCCTTTTGCTTCGCTGGAAGGGCTTGCGCAGGAACATGCCGTGGAGCGGTTGCGGGCACCATTGCCAGGCTTGCCGCTGCCTCCTCCTGAGCTGCCTTCTTCTGGTTCTCCAGCTCTGTCTGCATTTGAACTTCTCCCAGTAGACCTTCCTCTATCATTCCCAGTTCCGATCGCCTGGATGCATGAGCGAACTGGGCTGCCTGTGGGTCCCTGGTAATGGCTGCCCGCACCACATCTGGATCCGCTCTGAAGGCTGGGATCATGAACTTCAGTGCCTTACCGTTTCGCTTTGCCACAGCCACGGCGAAGTCCTTGTCATTGAGTAGATCTTCAGATGCATGCTTGTAGGCTTGAGCATCATGCACTGCCATCTCCATGATCAGGTTGCGGTCATCTCGCAAGTCTGTGGTAGCCCCCTGCAATGCAGAGCCCTTGCCAGACTTGGCAGCTTCTAGCATGAAGCTCTTGTCCCTCCTCAAAGCATCTGGCGCTCCATTCATGGCACCGCCGTGCACGCCCAAAGCCTTCAAAAGGAAATCCTTGTTGTTTCGGAGCTCCGGGGCTGCATCCGCAAAGGCAGTGCCAAAGTACCTGGTAGCCTCCAGCACTATGCCTTCATCCGCTCGCAGCTCTGGCGATGCCAGCTTCAGGGCAGCACCTTGGCTGGTCAAGATTGCGCTCTTGACCAGGTCCCGATCATTCTTGACAGGCTCTGGTGCGGATTCAAGGAGCTTCCAATTGTCCAAGATGGCAGCCCTCCACATGGCCTGCCGCATGCTGGACATGTCCGCCACTGCGGAGGGCGCCGAAGAGCCATCCTCAAGCTGCTTGATGCCTGCCTTGTACTCTGAAGCCTTCACCCCGCTCCGGATGACGGAGGAAGCAGCTAGCTGGGACAAGTCCGTAGCATATTTTCGTCTGAGCTCACTCTCCTCCGCAGGCGGCAAGTCATTGGTCATACTGAATTCCTTTCTAAGCTTGTCTGCACTCTTGTTGGTCGTCATAAGGGCTGCCTTTGCACTGAGCAGAAACCAGAGCCCAGGGATGTCAAGGTAGCTGGCTGCAACAGTGAGATCAAAGAGCGTCGCCTTGTCCACATTTACGAAGCTCGAGTCCCAGCGTGAGGCACCGCAGTCTACCAAATGGTCGCTGACAAGGGGTGTGCGGATCTCACTGTATTCATGGTCCACGTGGTGCTTCAAGTACTCGATCAACTTGAGCACGACCGCCTTCTTCAACCTGAGGGTCGCGCATGGAGACGCAAATGATGCATAAACCGGAAACATGTCTTAAGAAGGTGCGGCAGAGGGACGGGATGTTAAACTCCTCATCGCAGCCTTTTTCTAGGAGGTCTTTTCGAGCTCTGAAGGACAAGACGAGTGCCTCCGTGGGCACATCGAAGACGTCCCCATCGGCGCATTTGACCTTGGCCGTCTTACCTGCCAACTCCTCTGGGCAGGCTTGGCACGGGCCCATCTTCATCTGCCCGAAGACTTCATATGTTTCCTTAGCATGAGAGGAGGCAGGGATGAAGGTAACTGGACTTGAGCCTCACACCTAGCATTGCCTCCTGACTTTGGCAAGCTGAGCGTCTGCCATGGCTCCTACTCAATACCCGATCCCTAACTGAAACGCTGTACTTGGAACCCCAATCATGGGCCGAAGCCGAGATGGCTGAGCGGGAAAAAATGACTCAAGGATGCTTCAGTGGGACAGAATTGTTCAACAAACAGCTATCACCGGTGATGCGCTCCACATCAAGCATGATGCAGGGCACTGTTTGCAATGGCTGCTATCGCTTCTCGACCCACAGCACTCCACGGAAAATATTGCCATCCTCAACTGGGCTGCGAGCCCAGTAACCCAGCCCTTACAGTTCTCTGGGATGTGCATCTCCGTGCAGTCCTGAGAGCTTCATCAAGGCACCCACAGGCAGGACATGGGCCTTAACCCCCTCCCAAACCCTTATCCAGGTACACGTCTGTGTCACAGCTGGTCACAGGGCATTGGGGCATTCCAACTCTCGGGCTATATCTCTCCAAATAGCTCATGCTCCCCAGCATAGCTGCGTGGAGGCTATATAGCTGTAATGGAAAGAGAATGGAAACTAATATATTACAATCGGGTATATGGGGTTATATAGAAAATTACTTGACATCCATGGGCCCCGGCGTCACGGTCTGACACATCCTTGACAGTAACACTTCCACGGCCTCAGAGTCCACAAACGCGGCCGGACGCATGTCGGTGTCTCGGAAAAGTTCCAGGCAACTTTCATGTCAAAGGTCATGTTGTTGGACGGGACGTATTGAAGGCTGTGAGCAGAATTCAATGAGAGACAGGAGTCCCAGGGTTGGAGTGAACCATGGACCAACGGCTAACGTGTGTTTCTGGAGCCATGTCACGAACCTAAACACTGAACCCCACAACTTGTTACTTTTGGTGAAAGCTTGATGAAACTTTTGATGCTCTCTACTCCCGTACATGGACTGACCGGCAGTGGGTAACCGCGTGAAACACTAGCCGTCCCGGTAAGAAATTTCAACTTATCACGTGAACGTAACATGATACTGTGTGCATGCGGGACTTTCTTACAGGAAAATCTGTGGACATGCGCGTCCGTGCAATCAATGCGCCGCCTACATCCTGTGCATTCAGTGTAGTTCCCAGGGCTGCCACGCTGGGCCAGCAGCCAGTCAATGAATTGCTTCACGCGCCTGCGCTCCTGTGTGGGTCACATAAGTGTATGCCTGCACGCTCTAGCAACTCTAGTAACATCGATGGCGCTGGCAACGGTAGTAGCAGTGGAGGCAGTGGTGGTGGTAGGGGTTGCCTTTGTAGCAGTGGCAGCAGCGGCATTAGAAGATAGTTGTTGTAATAGTTACAGCAGAGCAGCGCCCGGATGAAAATGATAGGCTTTCTTCGTCGTACAACAGTAACTGTTCGAGAGCAGGCAGCATCATCTGAGAAACAAGGGGGCATCACAAAACAGGTCCTTGAGCGTTCCTGCCATGAAGCAAACATGCCCGACATACTCGAGGATAACCTGAGCTTCTCGCAGACACACGGCAGCGGTGTTTTTTAAAAGGTGTGGCTCCTTCTGCTTTAGTCCTGGAACGTTTCAAATGTTGCAAATCACGACACTTGCTGGTCTTGGAATGCTTCAAATGTTGTGAATTACAGCACCTGCTAATCTTGGAATGCTTCAATGCTGCAAGACACAGCATAGCTATTCGGAAGATCCATTCCCCCATAACACTAAGATTTGGGCTCAGATGCCATAAACCATGAAATGAACACAAATCCTTCTCAACCCTGGACCTGCGACCATCATCCACATCCGTTGAATTACACCTAACACCCTCCACACAGTGACCAAGACCAAGCTAGGATCGTGGCATTGGCAGCAAAGGCTAGCTTCTTCCGTGTGGAACCTGAGACGAAACTACGGAAGACAGATTTCACAGCAGGAGGCATGCATGTCATCTTTGTGCTTCAGACATGGAAGGTGTATGTAGGTGCTTGCTAGACATTTGATCCCCCATGGCGCAGCGCCCTGCGCCGTCCACTACATCGTGCACCGCCCAAGTGCGACACCGGCTGGATGTTTCAATCTAGAACACTAGTCGGGCAGACGTCACCAGGTCCGAAACTGTGATGTGGTGCTGTGCCAGAAGCTGAGGGCCATACCCTCCTTGCCTGTCCAGTGCAAGACATGAGATTCCCAAAATGAGGTGCCCCTTGTTCATACAACGCTAGAATCCTCAGAGTCGCCGGACCCAAAGGATTCACAATCCCGGATGAAAAAGACTAGCTCGTGAACAGCTGTTCTTCCAGCTTTAGGGTGGACCATTACGCATTGTGAGCCTCACTCTGAGCATCCCCAAGGAGGGAGCATTGGGGCATGTGACATTGAGCAATAACAAACTTGAGGTGTGCTCTGTCAGGGTCCATCGACTGCTCGCAGAGATTGCTGGGTAACTATGTGTGCCCGGACGTCTAGACACGAAAAAAGATGCTCAACGTATAAAAATCAAGCAGATGCAAATTCAAGAAAGGTTGGGAGCAGCCCCGCCTAGAGCGTAGCTCAGCTCGTCGTCCCTAAAGATCATGCGGTCAGTTGCGAAGCCCTGCACCAGAGCGCTGATCAGTACAAACCAGGTAAACACTCTTGTCATGATTACTGGGCGAACATTGTCATCATGGTCATGCACGGCTCCTCCAACAACAAAACTTGACACAAGCAGCAACACCAACGTCTGCACCTGTGCACACCTGAAATCACCTGAAGCAGCCTTCTGGAACCTTCTATAGCAGTGTGCTGCTGCAGCTGGCCTTCTCATCGCTAAACTTCTCTCTGATGCCCCGGGTGAAGGTGCCAGGAGCTTTTGTCTCCACAGCACTCATGACCTTTGTCAGTGATACATTTGTTGGAAGGCCAGCTTGGGGCGCCATTGTCTGCAGTAAATATCCATGATTCGGGCCCGTTTCTTGACTTCCCCGAACTTGCCTGTGTTCAAAGATCTCCCTGGAGGGCAAGATGTTAATCAGCACAAAGAGGTGCAACATTAAGCTTAATACGCTCGCTTTGGCAGCATGAGCGGATCCCATACTCAAAGCTCGGGGATCTTAAGATTCGCGACACAGACAGTTGGCACCCAGCTCACTCACCAGTGCGTTCATGCCGACCATGACCCCGAGCACATCCGTTTGCCGTGGCATGCATGGTGTCCCAGACAAGTACGTCCCTCTACAGCATCCACGACTCGTCCAAATGAGAGCCTCTATCTACAAGTGCGTTCTCTGCGATGGCCCAGAAAACACCACCATGTTATAGCTTTTCCGATTGCATCCATGGTCACCTTTACAAGTGCTTCCGTCCACGTGCGTATCAGCGTTCATCCTCATGCAACCTACTGTCGATACAGCAGCTAAAATCGCGCTAATTTTGCGGCAAAGGACTTCTCCTTCAATGCCTACATGGCAGTGCATACTAAAATCAGCCAGCAGGCTTGCCATAAAAGATTAGAACAAAAAACAGTGCATCGCACATCTCTTCGTCACATGAACAGGCATGTTCTGTTCCAAGCACAAAATTACACCTAAGTACTACCCGGCCAGTACTTCCCCAAGAGCTCATTGTGACCAAGTATCTTCTGACAATCAGCAAACTGGCCTGGCACATGTTGGCTATTACTCCAGTCGCTTGTCAAAACAGCCCCGAGCTCCAGGCAATCCCTTCCCCACCTCTACCCCCGTAATATCAATCCGTCTTATAGTTGGACAGACACTTTGGGGACAATGTTTAATACTCAGGCCACTGGGGAGTGGAGAGATAAGTACTTCAGAGAAAGCGAGAGAATCCCTGCCGAGACACCTTGAGCTCTGCCCCGCGACGCGCGCGCTCGCTGCCGAAAATCGCGAGCTGCTCGGAGCCCCCGCGGCCTCGATGTGCACTGGTCGTTAGTAGGGTCAGGGAAACTTCGTAAGTAGGTTAATACCCCCTTTTTCCCATGTAATAGCCCTAATTATCCCCATTATTAACCTAGTTACTAAGTCCCCCTGACCCTTCAAGTAGTTAGTAGGGAAGGAAGGAATGGATCCCTATACTATAGGCTCTGTCGATTCCACTCAATCATTCCCTCCTCACACCCTGAGCCCTCGCAGTGAAAATTCCCAATATTCCAATACATCCCCTCTATAACCCAATAAAATACCCCATATTCTATCTACTTACGGGGGACTACATCCCTATATGTCCCCAATATACTATAGTAGCTTCCATTATCCTAATATATCTCCCATATAGCCCCAATACAATAATATGGTGCGAATGGCTTGTGGGCGAGCCTTCATTGGCAGATGTGCCAGGATTGTCAGGACTTTAAAAAGGACCCGGGAGAAGATTCAGGGGCCAGCGCTTCTGATTTCCGCGTGTAAGTGTCACGACTTTGAAGGAATGACAGGAATGCTTGACAGATACTCGAGAGCTGTGCCTGCAACGTGGAATTTCTGTGGGGTTTATCAAGGTTCGACAAGCAGAGGAAATATTGAGGAAGATCGTATGCGGTCGGCCAATGTCACCTTCCGATGTTGTGTTTCCTATTGCAGGAGATCCTATGCTCTCTGCGCTCTACAGCACGGCTCGAATATTAAGCCGGCATTGTTGCAGTCACGCGCTTGCTAGAGCCCATCGCACAAAGCTCTCCATGGGTACGAGAATGCAACTTGTCTCGGCCTCGTCCCTTGGTGCTGCCACCATCCTGCAGTGATGGGATCTGGTGCAAGTTGTGCAGCTGTAAACCTTTAAGACATGTTCTCACATCTACTTCAAGTTCACCATTGCCAAGGCAGGCTTTCAAACTGGCCAACATGGGCACTCCCAATCCTTGTTCATGAAGAACATAAGGGTGCCCCACTCCTGACCAGAGAGCATAGATGAACAAAGCGTTACTATCAAAACCACTTGCTACTGGATGCTCAAACGTAGCGGCGGCGGAGCGACAGTGCCAAGTCTCTCAGGAACAGAAACCATGTCAGTCAAGCGCAGCAGCAGTTTGAGTGATGGTCATGGCGGAAATGGCAAGCTCCAGAAAACGTCAATGCTTGGGGGGTGATAGACAGGACGGACTGGGACAAGAACTAGCCTATCATAGCAAGCCTTAGCAAGGCGGCTTGCGGCTGTTCCTCTGTGGCTTGACAGAAGCAGCCCTGAAGGTTGTGGCAACAGCCGCAGGCCTTGCTACAGTACTTGCTACTGTTATTGCAATTGTTATTGTATTAGTATTCTTCTTTTTCTTCTTCTTCCTGTGGGCATTGCGGCTGTTGTCAATGGTTTCTGTTATCAATGCCAAAGAAAATCAAGATCAATCAATTACAAGAATAAAACCCCTTACCCTATACCTATACCCTATACCCTGGATGATGCACGGTACTCTTCCAAAGCTCCTCCTCGATGCCGCCGAGAGCCGCTCTCCGGTTGCCTTTTGAAAGGTTTGGTATTGGGGCGATATAGGGTTTAGGGTTTATGCTTTATGGCGAGGGTCACATAGCCTTTAGGGGGTTAGTGACCATTCTATGGGCATGTAGTTGGGCAAATGTGTCGCTATTGTCACATTTGTCACGATGTGGTTCTTCTTTCTGGCCGCGGGAGGTCTTCTACTACACAGTATACTACACTACAGTATTGCAAGTATTGGATTATTTGCGGTACCCTCATGTATTTTTGCGACTTCTATGACATAGCTTCTATTCGATAACCATGTACGTAGCATATAGCCGGTGCCTGTGACATAGCCGATGCAGTCTTGCGGCACATCCTCAGAAAGCAGCACTGGTGGAGCCTGACCTTGTCCCTAGTTGGAAATGGAACAGCCTGGCATGCATGAAAAGACTGTGCAGAGCTGTTGAGGGCAACGCCACAACAGTGATGTCGTCACGGTCTTCCCATCCATGAACCTAGGTTTGAAGTTCATCTCAACTTCACTTGGCATCAGGCACTCAACTTGCTCATGGGTTTCTCAGGGTGGTGCATAGACAGGACCTTCCAGTTGGTCAAAGAGCCACTTCATGTACTCCTGATTACGCTCACTACTCACAGACACGCAGTCTGATTCCACACCTTCACGCTGGCAGAGTCCTTGGCCCGCTTCCGCTCTGCTTTGCAGCCGGAGAAGAGCGCATTCTGCGTGCGTGCAGACACCAACGCAATAGCAAACAGAGTTCCTCATACCATTGCAAGGCAGGAGTTCGATGTAGCTCCATGCTTTTTTCTGCGAGCTGCCGACAGCTTCTGGGTGAGGTCGTCTCAGTTCTGGTGCTCCGCGGCTGCGCGTCTCCGCACTGCCACTGAGTCAGGAAGCAAAAGGCCCAGCGCACAGCTTGAGTACAGCGCCTTCAAGGCATTCGAAAAAGCATGTAGCAAAAGAAGGACCCTTGCATTGTCACTCATGTACTACTTACTTGCACGTGTGCAGCCAGCTCCGTTTCCCTGCCTTCACAGTGGCGAAGATCAGGTATACGCGGCGAATCATCTGGCAATCTCCTAAATGTTGGTGAAGATGCGCTCCTGTCAGTGGCAAGGGTTCAGGCCATGCAACACTGGGAGTTGACCCTGCCAGGCTCCTTGGCAAGAGTCGCGCAAATTGCCTGACAGGGGCAGCAGAACCTGGCTTGGAACGCCTGTGTGATACTCTTTTTGCGGGCAAGATTCCGTTTCGAAAGGACACACCGCCTCTGATCGACTCAGGATTGGAACTCTGCTCGAGTAGCCTTTACATGTAAACTTCTGCCTGCAGGGCTGCTGGCGTATCACGTAACAGCTCGTAGCGCCCGCAAATTACCACAGCGGTGTTTTTGAGCCTTGGATGAGCGGCCCGAGTGTGCTCAGGCCATCCACTGCACATGAATTCAAATGTACAGTTTGTCGTCTGAATTTGCCGCAAGAGTACGAAGCCTCCGCCATCTTCAGGGCACCTGGCCATCTCTGCTTGCATGCCAAGCGCAGATGAAAATGAGATCATCTTTCTGGGCTTGATTCTGAAAGAAACATCTGGGGACGTAATTCTAGCACATACTTAGCCCTGGCCTACAGAGAGGTCGACAGCCAAGGCTTGCTGCGGATACATCTTGCCCGTCCTCAGAAAGAGCTTGGATTGCCAGGAACCCAGTATTTTTACGTAACTCAAACACACTTGGCGCCACCCGCTCTGGAGGGCACTGGATTTCGGATGGGTTTCCGGGAGACGATGATATTCACTGGAAGTGGACTCCAAATGAGACCCAACGCCATCCAAAAATCCAGCGACATGGACTGCGGAGAGGAGTGCCTGCTATCATCATGCCCCGGTTGATCTGCCACCAAGAGGCAGCAGCCGCCTCAAAGCAAGGGGCAGCTTGGAACCATCTTCGGCCTCTGTCACCACCACTTAGACTCAGGAATATGCGGGCGCTGAGACTTCAGCGAAGGAGGCTGGTTCAGATCTCTTCGGTAACACCGAAAAACACGCGATGCATGCCTTTAAAAGTGGCACGGTGCATGAACATCTCGGCTGCAGAAATAAGAAAGTTCACTACACCAACAGGCTTATTTGGCCCTATCTTCTCGTCCCTCATGCTGAATACCCAAACTATCCTCGGAGTATGCAGGAACGATAGCCTCTGGTGACAGAACCGGCTTGTCAATTGCTATAGCTGCCGTTTTGACAGGCCACCATCTTCGCCAGAGCGACGCCTCTGTCGACCTGAATATTGTCGCCAGGCTTTTGAGGACTCCAAACTGCCTGCCACTTAGCTTGTTGTTGCTGGCTGCCGTTGTAGTATTTAGCAGAGGAGGGGAGCGGTAGCAGCGATCATGATGCCGTCGCCCCTTGTGCTAATCTCGAAATTCATTTTGAAGCGTTCACCAGGCTTCGCCTCCAACATTCTTAAGGCAACAGTCCAGTAGAGGCTTGCAAGCTATCAAGCTCCGTTTTCTATGCCAGGCTGCCGCTTCTTGCAGGACACCTTCCAATCCCGCTCTTTCACCTGGCCAGGACAGCTCAAGCCATAAGGTGCGCGTGCCAATGTAGATAGAGAGAGGTGGGGATCCAGAAGCTGGTTGCATCACGTCTTGGGCCCGGTCTAGCCTCCTTCAATTTCAAGCCCTCTTCCCAAAGCAGAAAGGTCTAAGCCTGGGCTGTAGGGCTCATAGGCTTCTAGCTCTTAGGGTGCAAGCATCAGATAAACCTCAGGACAAGCAGCATCAATCGGCAAAATTAAGCATGCAAATATGGCGTGAAGAGGTGCAAACAAAAGCGTACACGTAGCTGACTTAGCTCTGTCTTGAAGCTTCTACAGGAGACCTCTTGAGGCTGTCGGTGATGGCATCTTGGTGATGATATCTTGTACCCGCCCCGCGAGGGTGCCGACAACTTGGCGGACAACGCCCCGAGCCTTAAAGCCTCTCAAAGCCTTGCCACAACCGGAAAGCCCTGAATCTGTGGCCTGAGACGAGCAGAGTGAGCTGCAGCCGACCAGACAAGGCCCAGGCTTTGAGCTGATCCTCTGGATTTTGGATTGAAGAGGAATTGGGGGCGCAAGGAGCTTTGTTTAAGGTTTGGGCGTCACCATTTTGGTGGCTTTAGGGCACCAGGGTCAGGGTTTTCTGGTGTAGGCTGGTAGAGCTCACGCATCAAAGTCTCAAAAAGGGGGAAGGGTCCATGTATGGATCATCATCACAAAGGACCTGCTCAAGTGTCTACACTCATCCCGTTCACAGGAACACCCCCGCAGGTCGTGCAAGGGTGTTGAGGGGCTGGGTACAAGTTCGTTGCACTGGGACTAGGTCAGCACTAGGTCACTACGGATAACCCCAACAGCAGAATTGCGCTGTGAATAACTTATTGTCAAGAATGCGTGGTTCTACACAAAGAAGAAACGCGAAAATTTGGAAGCGGCGCCTTATAAGCCAAATCCTGCGCATCCCGGAGCCCATAGTAGAGATGGATCTCAAGCGGTTTGTCCAGAAGCTGTAGAAATGCAGCCTTGACGCCTGACAAGCCCACGCCAGAAGAGATGAGCACAACCCGGCGCAGCTCTGGTGTCGATGCAATCGATTCCATCAGGAATTGGTAGTAGCCATTAAAGAAGCCAGCAATGGCTGGGTTTACAAAAAGCCCTCGGACCGGCCCTGGTGCAAGCCTCCGGACCGCGTGCGCCACTTCTACCACAACGCTACTCAGCCCCTCTGGCGGCGGCCCTGTCAGAATCTCCAGCACGCCTTGAGTGCCTTCCTTGCCGTAACCCAGAGCATAGGGCTGCTCGCGGGCGACACCAAGCGAATCCAGATGCTGCAGTCGAATGATGCTGCCCGGCCGATAATCTTTCAGGAGCTTCTGCCACAGATGTGGCTGAACATGCAGGTGAACCAGCTGGAAAGCACCTAGAAACTGCTTCTCGACGCGAAGCACGGAAACCCAGTCATCTTGGCAGTCTGACCCAAACCAGTTGCAAGGGCATTGCAGCTCTACAACTCCTGTTACTGTAGCCCAGGCTTCACCACCATACCTCTGCTGAACAGCTGGGTCACAAGAGTCTGGTCTGCAAAGCAAACCTACACCAGTGGGAAGCGGATACCGCTCAGGTCGGATCTCAGGAAGAAGACACTCCTCCTTACAGATCGTCGCTCCAAGAGGGTAGGATGCGAAGTCTGAAAACTCTCTGCAGGTGACCTGCACACTTCTCCGGGGAGCCAGAACTGACCGGGACCACCGCAGACAGGTGGTTTTGCAGAAGGAACCCTGGCATGGCATAATGCTTTGGTTCATCCAACAGTCAGACTCAGCTTCCTGGCACCAATCGCCACAAGTAGGCGGCTGTAGCACATCATCAACGGCACACTCCCCCGACCCGCAATCCTCTCCGCCTGCGCTCCATAGAGCAGCCACTAGGAGAAGCAGCAACACCATTCTGACTGTGGCAAATGGGATATAGAAGAACCATGGATAAACCAAAACCGCGCGAGTTGCAAGCATGGATTTCTCCAATTAGGCTGTTGCAAGGTGTTTTCAGATGTCTTCACTCCAGGCTCAAATTACGTTTGCCACAAACAATCATCAGATCAAACGCTTGGATAACTTGCAACAAGTGTCGCAGACTTGGGCCCACAACAAGCCATGCCAAGGTAATGATCCAGCAAATACGGCTATCTCAAACTATTTTGCCTCGCCTGCGCTCCTCGAAACAAGGCTTCCAGTCCTCAGACGTCTTTTTCCTATCGCATTTCCATCAGTCGTTAAGCGTCGACGCTGGCAGGAGATGTCGGGGGATGACGCCAGATTCCCGGGCTTCCTTTGTCACGAAGTGCTTCAATCGACTCCAGAGCCTTACGGTTGGGGATGAAAGTGTGTGGGGGCATGTAAATGGATCTGGGTCCTGAGAAATAACCATGGCATGGACTGTTGAAGCATTTGCTGGTAAAGCCTGCCAAGGTCTTGCAACCAAATTCTGTCCTACTGCCCTCCAGGAGCACTACCAGCAATCTGTTTACACCTTGGTGGGGGCCCTGAAGCAATCTGAATGTCAGGACTTTGGAATGATACCGCTGCCTGCTTGGAACACAGCAAGCAGAGGTTGAGGTTCAGGATTTGGATGAATCTCTTGTTTGAGGCCCCGCTATCCCACCACGAATAATCCCAAAACGTTACCTGGCACTCCAAACCCATATAACCAAGGGAACTCCAACTGCAAAGTAGGCTTGCAGAGGCTGTGGCTCCGAATAGAAAAGGCAAGGCACCTGACCAGGATCCAAGCGTCCATTGCGGCATACTGCTGCTGCGAGGGCAGCAGGGGCCTTCTTGACCAGTCGCTGGCTCGCATCTCCTTTCAAAAGCAGATTCGGAAGCTTGTTGGGTGGTCAATGGCTATTTGTTTCTGATTTGCGGTAGGGTAGTCCAAGTTAACAGCCAATGCCACACTTATCGAAGGTTTTGCAGATTGCTGCTTCAGCGACATCAAAAAACGGTTTCGCCTAGATTGGGGGCTTTACTCTAGAGAATCTCCTTGAACTGCTGGGCTCCCTACTCCTGCCATTATGTACGAAACAAAACTTGAGATGCGCAAGCATAGGACCGATTTGTGTAGGATTCTGAACCCTTCAACAAGTTGCAGCAAGCGGTTGCTGGGCCTGTCGCAAATTTCACTCTG